TATAATTTAGCAAAACATATAGTTCAACTACCTTTTTCTCCTCCAATATTAAGCATTGTGTACATGATTGTGCACTTATTGATTGACCATGTCAATAAAACATATATAACTGACTTAGGGCATTACTCCCAATGCTATCATAGTTCCTTGGCCATTTCAACATCATTCCCAAAATAATAAGAGCAAAAATGGGTTATTTCATACAATATAAATACCTTAACAATTGATGCCTCTACATGATTTTTATTCCCTCTGGTATTCTTAAGTTTGTGAATGAGCCTGAAAGAAGATATTGAAAAAAGTAATTTAAAAAGTTAACCAATACTTAGTTTTAATATTTTCAATTTTTTGTTGTATGTCTTACTTTTCAAATGGGTATATCCAACGAAATTGAACTATACCACCAACTTTGACCTCATATGGAAGATGAATTACAAAGTACTACATAGAATTGAAGAATGCTAGGGGGAATATTATTTCTGACTTACAAACTATTTCAACAACCTTTGCCTCCCATTTCTACATCTCCTTAAGTTTGATGATTGAGAACAAAGTGAACGAAAGAAGTTACGGTCAAAAGACCATAACTAGCAGATGGCAATAGATCTTGAAAAGTAACTAGAATTAGTTGTTGCATGAAAATGTGACAAGCATGACTTTTCATCTTAAATCACCTAGACTCGTTCAACTTGACACATCTTGATATGTTAGAAGCATAGCTACTTAGAAAATGCAAATGTTTCATCCATTCACATAGAAGCTTCTGTTTTTGTGAGGTAAGTGCATAAATAGCATTAGGCTTAACAGCCTGACCATGCTTATCATATATCATGTACAGTTTTTCTCGGTCACAATAAAAGGGTAAATCCAATTTTGTTTTCACATTATCTTTTGTTATAGTATCATCCATAACAGTATGTATTATATTATGAAAGAAATTCTTCTCACAATGCATTACATCAAAATTAAGCATAATAAGACTATTTTGCCAATCAAGAAGTTCCAAAAAAGTACACTTTTTCACCCAATTGTGGGTGTTCCAAAACCCTTACTTGTTTGGTTTTCAAAAGGTTTCCTCTACAACACATTAGGAAGGTTTTTAACTTGGTGATGCATTGAAACACCATTCAATAAAGGAGGGAGAGTATTGAATTCAACTTGACGTCTTAGAAAATTAGTTTGATCAAATTTGAAAGGATGTGAATAGAGTAAAAGCTAATGACGATAGTAAAAAAAGATGGATTTTGACCATTTAAAAGATAGAAAAATCTATCATCTCTATACAATATAGACAAGACAATCGGCCATGAGTACTTCAACTAGATACCATATTGTTACTCAAAAAATCAATTATGGTCCACATTAATAAAGTGCACATTATGAAGTTTTGCTTATGGTAACTATCGTATGTTTTCACATTAGTCGACCATAACATTTTTAAGTCTTGAATTACAGGTCAAAAAATTCATCATGTTTCTACTTAGGCATTTTGGACTTGCAATGACCAATGTAAGAAATGTAAATTCTAACTACATGCACATTTGTGGCGGTAAGTAAATAACAATAAAAAAACCTAACCAACAAGAGTAGGGGGTTGAAGAATGACCCCTAGGGCTAAAACCATCAATAGTAAGATCTAATTGAATATTATGAGGTTCTCTGTCACGCCCCAGAACCCAAATCCGGGGACGTGGCAGACGCCGTGCACTCGTGAAAAGGTCCCACAAATGCATAAGGCTCGGAACTTATCATATTTTACTTTGATACCACAAAAATCTGAAGATCAAATCTTTAAAATTTTCTCTCATATCATAAAATCTCCAATACACTCTAGTTTACAAGATCATGATTTATTTCTAAAAATCTCCATCAATCTCGAAATGGCTAGCCTTCTAACTCGTCACTTCCCGTGGTTTCCCCGTCCTCAGTTTTGGTTCCTGAAATGGTGGACAAAGAAAAACTATGAGATAAACTCAGTAAGTAAAATATGGAGTGCCTTTTTTTAAACATATAGCATGCCAACAAGTGTAATCAGAAAAAAAAAACGAATACCAGTACGGGAATGAAATAGACGTCTTCTCTATAGGTCATGGCCAGTGTTATAAACCTCCTACTGGCGGGCAACAGAAATTACTAGTGTTTAACCCCCACTAGCAGGGTTACAGAAACGAACCGGTTCTATCAGTAACATGTCGACATGTGCTAGCGTTTATAACTCCCACTAGCGGGCAACAGAATAACATGACCATATCGGAGAC